GTTAGAATTACAAAGTTGGCAGTTAAAATTCACCAGTTGATCCTTGGAAACCCCATACATGGTTGCTATGAGTCGGAACCTACTGGAAGGCACTTAGCAACAAAAACATATATCTATCTATCTACATACATATACTTATGAAGGGAGTTGGCTCCATATGATAAACACCAGAGAGCATTCCACAAGTTCTGCTGTTCAAGCCCACCAGCCTCTCTGTTGGAGAATGAGGCTGTCAGCTCCTGTGAAGTTTTAAAGCCTCTGAACTGCTATACAGGGTTGCTATGAGTCGGAACTGACTCAAAGGCATATAACAACCTATATATATATTAGGATAGACAAAATTAACATGCATATACTGTTCATCTGTCATTTTGTCATACTGTGATGGTTTGCATATTGGTTCTGGAAGCTGTGCCATGGGTATTTTAAATACCAGCAGCATCACCCACAGTGAACAGGTTTCAGGTGAGCTTCCATACAAAGCTAGAATAAGAAGAAGGAGCAATAAATTACTTCTGAATATTAAGTCACTGAACACCTTATGAATAGCAGTGGAACCTGTAAACACCAGAATATTGATGAAAAGCACCAGAATATTGCCAGATATAGTGCTAGAAGATGAGTCTTTCAGGTTGGAAGGCACTCAAAATGCAACTGTAGAAGAGATATTTCCTCAAAGTACAGTTGATCATGATAATGCGAATGGAGTAAAGCCTTCAGGACCTTCATTTGCTGATGGGGCGTAACTCAAAATGAAGAGAAACAGCTGTAGACATCCATTGATAATTGTAATATGGAATGTATGAAGTATGAATCAAAGAAAATTGAGAATTGTAAAAAATGAAATGGAACACAGAAAGATTAATAACCTAGGTATTAGTAAGCTGAAATGGACTGGTATTGGCTACTTCAAATCTGACAATCACATGGCTTACTTTGCTGGGAATGACATATTAAAGAGAACTGGTGTAGCATTCATCATCACAAAGAATATAGTACAAATCTGTCTGTGATAGGATAATATCCATATGCCTACAATGAAGACCAGTTAATACCACTATTATTCAAATTTACACACTAAACTAAAGCCAGTTAGAATGAAATCAAAGAATTTCATCATCTAGCTTATTCTACTAACTTCTTCAGTCTGAAATTTATCAAACATGTAATAAAGGTGTATTTATAATAACTGATGTCTACAATGGTAAGGTAGGAAGCAAAGAGGAAGGATCAGTCATTGGAAAATATGGCCTTGGTGATAGAAACGATGCTGGAGATCACATGATAGAATTTTGCAAGACCAATGACTTCTTCATTGCAAATACCTTTATTTAAACACCATAAAAGAGAGCTATACACATGAACCTCACCAGATGTAATACACAGAAGTAAATTGACTACATCTGTAGAAAGAGACACTGGAAAAGCTCCATATCATCATCCAAAACAAGACCAGGGGCTGACTATGGAACAAGCCATCAAATGCTCCTATGCAAGTTCAGGCTGAAGCTGAAGAAAGGTAAAGCAAATTCAGGATAGACTAAATAAGACCTTTAACTTATTCCCCCTGAATTTAGGATTATATGAAGAACAAATTTGATGCATTAGGCACTACAGACTGAAACCCAGAGAGTTGTGGGGTGAAATCAAGAATATCATACAGGAAGAAAGCAAAAGGTCATTAAGAAGACAAGAAAGCAGGAAAAGACCAAACAGATGTCAAAGAGACTCTGAAACTTGCTCTGAAGCATAGAAATGCTAAAACAAATGGGAAGAAGTGAACAGGCAAAAGATCTGAATAGAGTTTTGAAGGTCAGATATTACAGAGTGGTGACCCAACAGAATGCAGATATCATCAGGCAATATCATTGAGATCCCATGGGAGTAAAGTTTTAATTAAGGTAATACAAAAACAGCTGCAACCATACATTGGCAGAGAACTTGCAGAAGTTCAAGCCAGATTCAGAAGTGGAACCTTCTGGATACCTTTGCTGATGTCAGATAGATGTTGGCTGAAAGAAAAGAATATCAGAAAGATGTTTACCTGTGCTTTATTGACTACGCAAAGGCTTTAGAGTGTAGGATCAAGGCAAGCTATGGACAACATTGTGAAGAATGACTATTCCAGAACACTTAATTGTGCTCATAAGGAACCTCTATGTAGACTAAGAGGTAGTTGTTTGGCCAGAACAAGGAAATACAGAATGTTTTAAAATCAGAGGTTTAAAAAAAGATGTGTGCTAGGGTTGTATTCTTTCACCATAATTATTAATTCTATATACTGAACAAATAAAAGAGAAGCTGGATTATATAAAGAAAAATGTGGCATCAGGATTGAAGGAAGACTCATTAACAACTTGCAGTATGCAGATGGTAACAACCTTGCTTTTTGAAAGTGAAGAGAACTTAAAATAGGTATAATAAAGATCAAAGACCACAGCCTTTGGTATGGGTTGCATCTCAGCATAAAGAAAAACAAAAATCTTCACCACTGGACAAATTAACAACATCCATATAAATGGAGAAAGGATTGAAGTTGTCAAAGTCTTCATTTTGCTCAGATCAACTATCAACATTTATGAAAGCAGCAGTCAAGAAATCAAATGATGTAGATCTGCTGCACAAGACATCTTTAAGTTTTGAAGAACAAAGATGTCAGTTTGAGGACTAAGATGTGCCTGACCCAGGCCACAGTATTTTTAGTTACCTCATATGCATGCGAAAGTTTGACAGTGAATATGGACAGACATTGAATAATTGATGCATTAGAAGTATGGTGTTGAGGAGAATATTTAAA